TGAGTTAGTGGTTTAGCAATTTTAGAAAAATCTTTAATAAAGCGACGATAAAACCCCACATGACCTAAGAAACTCTTAACCCTCTTAACATTGACTGGTGGAGGTAATTGATCAATCACAGAAAATTTAGCTTTATCTACTTGTATACCCTTATCAGATACAATATGACCAAGGACCACACCTTCTGTCACCATGAAGTGACACCTTTCCCAATTTAAGACTAAATTGCATTCTTCACATCTTTTCAAAATTTTAGTAAGATTAGCTAAACATGCATCAAATGAAGACCCATACACACTAAAATCATTCGTAAAGACTTCCTTGATAGACTCTATGAATTCAGAAAAAATGCTCATCATACAACGTTGAAAAGTAGCAATGGCATTACATAAACCGAAGGGCATCCTACGATATGCAAAAGTACCATAAGGGCATGTAAGTGTTGTTTTCTTTTGATCCTCAAAGTGAATTAGAATTTGGAAAAATCCCGAATACCCATCCAGATAACAAAAAAAATTATGATTAGCTAACTTTCCAACATTTGATCAATAAAAGAGAAAGGGAAGTGATATTTTTTAGTTGCAATATTTAATCTACGATAATAAATGCACATACTCCACCCTATTACAGTTCTAGTGGGAATTAATTCATTTTTATCATTCTTAATCACAGTCGTCCCACCCTTTTTAGGAACTACCTATACGAGACTCACCCACTTTGAGTCAGAAATTGGATAGATAATACCTGCATCAAGTAATTTCATAACCTCTTTCTTGACTACTTCCTACATGTTAGGATTTAACCTCCTCTGGGGTTGAAAACATGACTTGTGATTGTCCTCTAAGTGTACCTGTGCATACAAAAGTCAGGGCTAATACCCTTGAGATCATCAATATTGTACCCAATTGCCCTTTTGTGGGTTCGAAACCTCTAAGAGTTGGAAAATTTGGGAATCATCGAGTGTTATACTAATGATCACTAGGTGCAGTTCCTATTCATCAAGAAATACATATTTTAAATGAGAAGGAAGAGGTTTTAGCTCAGGTTTCTTAACTTCTGCAGGTTTCAATTCCTAAACTAATTTTACAACCTTTTTGCTTTCCTTAAGGTCAAGTTGTTCAAGCGCGAGAGCTTTTTCAATAGCATCTACCTCTTTACTCCAAATATCAGCATCACCTATAGTAAAATCACCACAAAGAACTTCTTCCAAAGGATCCCTTGCAAGGACCTGTGGTAAGCTATCATTGCAAATAACATCAATTACATCAATACAGTAACAATTTTCCTCAAACATGGGACTTTTTAACACCCTCCCTAAATTAAATGTAATATTATCATCCTCAACAGAGAGAGTGAGTTTTCCATTTTTGACATCAATAATAGCTCCTACAGTGTGGAGGAAAGGTCTACCTAACATTATTGGAATTTGTGTATCTGATAACTTGTTATTTGATACGATTTTAGGGTGTTTTTAAACCTTGATTTCTTAATAGATTGGTGTTTTGGTTCACTTTTACTTTATTTTCATGCACTTTCTATGTATCCTTTGCTTCCCGGGTTGTTAGTGTTTTTGTTGAATTTTAGGTCTAAAGATGACCAATTAAAGTCCTAGGATGATAAACCAAGGTTGGAAGCAAGAAGATGATGGAAAGAAGCCAAGGAAAAGGAGCCAAGTCAAGAAGAAAGAGAGATATGCTGCGGAGCGACCTCTCCATAGAGTGGCGCGGCCTCTCTTGGTTAGCGGAGAGGCCTCTCAAAGTTCCACCAAAAGTTCCTGCCTCAATTTTGCATAGAAGAAATTAGGAGGAGAGGCCTCTCTTGATAGGTGTGCGGCCTCTCCACATGGAGAGACCTCTCTAGGTTAGTGGAGAGGCCTCTCCACCTTGATGCAAAAGTTCCTGCCTCCCTTGGAAGATTCAAGAAATTTAGGAGAGGCCTCTCCAACATAGGTCGCGGCCTCTCTACCTGGCACGCCCTCTCCACCCTGATGCTGAAGTCCCTGCCTTCGTTTGGCGAATTTGAAAGAAGGACACGGAGAGGCCTCTCCAACATAGGTGCGCGACCTCTACACTTGCGAAGCGGCCTCTCCACCTTTTTGGAGAGCCCTCTCCACCCTACTGCTGAACATTCTGCCCCAACTTCTCCCAGTTTGGAGCGGCCTCTCCAAGTCATGGAGCGGCCTCTCTAGGCCTTGGAGAGGCCGCGCCCGATAGATCCTGCGACTTTTCTTTTGCGGAGTTTACTATGTAATTGGGGGATATAAATAGTTTTGGGGGTTATTTTTGTAGGGGGATTCAATTTCCTAGAGTCCTTTCTCTTAGTTTGTAATTTAGAACATCAAAAACTCTCAAATCATTGCTTAGTTCTTAGTTCTTAATCCTTGGAAATTTCAATTCAATCATTGTAGAAGACAAGTTCCACCATTGTTATTCAAGTTTGAAGCTTCTGTTAACTATTTCCCACTCTTTTTTTCTATCTTCTCTACTTTAATTGCTAATTCCTTGCTTAATTCTTGTATGCTTAGATTGTTAATTAGCTTAATTCTTAGTTTGAATCTATTCATGAGTTCCTTGAAATCTTAAATTGCTTTAACATCCATGGATTGTGAGTAGTCTAATTTTCTAGGGTTTGGGTAAAACCCTCAATGTACTCACTAATAACTTGTTGAATGTAATAATTTGGTGATTGTGGGGTGTTAATTAGTTGAGATTAAGTGGTTTCATTGTTAGTTCTTGCATTTGGCCAATGTTAGGACTATTTATCCAAGCTTTCTCAACGAAGGATCGAGAGATGAACTTGAGTTAGCTCCCTTATGCTTAATTGACTTGAAATTCCATGTGAATAGGAATTTCCAGTCAAGGGAATGTTTATGTCATCGTGGTTATGCTTTAACACTTGTTTTATGCTTTGTAACCACGAGAGTAGGCTGTATTCATGATTCAAGTAATCCCTCTAGCTTGAGAGAGTAGTTGGGTGCCTTAGATGACTTCCCCTTATCCCCTTAATTCACCTTGATTGTTGCATGCTAATTGTGATTTGTGATGAAGTTGAGTGGTTTAACTTGATCCCTAGATTCCTCTAAATATTGTTAATCTCCTCTTAGCTTTAGTTGAATTGAACTAGTAGAAGTTACTTAAGACCAAACCAATATCGACTTCATTTAGCTTATTTAAACGGCAGTATCTCGGTGGATGATTCAACGCCTTTCTTGGGTTCGACCCTTTCTTACCCTTACTATTAGTTAGTGAGACCAAGATAGGATTTATCTTTGGTAGGCTCGACGACGGCCTATCAAATTTTGATGCCGGGGAGGCAAAGTCACATTGAATGTATTATTGTTGAATGAGACTAAGTGTGTGTGTATATGTATAGCAGTTTTCTTATATTAATTTTTGTTTATGTGTGCTTAACTTGTGATAGTCATTGCTAACGTCTTTCTTAGCTTTGTTTGACTTTGTATGACATGAAAAAGTAAGCAATCACCGCTTATTCCCGTTGATCCAGAGCTAAACGTGAGGAGGCTTTTTCAAGGCACACCCGAGTTCTCCATTGTATATTCGGATTCTGATCCAGAAGAGGTTTTTGGATCCAACGAAGAAAACATGGGAGAGAATCCTCCTCCACCTTTGCTAAGAGACTATGACCACCCCAACGCTTTCCAGCTTCGGAGTGGCATACGTCTTCCAACCACAAATGCAAACAACTTTGATCTTTCACCTCAACTCATCCGCATGATTCAAAGCGATCAATTTGGGGGTAGTCCTATGAGTGTCCTTTGCTCATTTGGACAACTTTCTTGAATTGTGTACAACTATCAAGAAAAACAACATTTCGAAAGATTTTATTCGGATGCACATGTTTCAATTCTCCCTGCATGATAAAGCAAAGCATTGGTTGAGAACGGTTGAAGAAGGATCATTGAGTACTTAGGATGAGGTGACTAGAGCCTTTCTTGGGAAGTATTGCCCTCCCGAGAAAACTACAGAATTAAGACGGAAGATCACGAACTTCAACCAAGAGGTTGATGAAACTTTGTGTAAAGCATGGGAGCGATTCAAAGATTACACTAGAGCATGCCCTCACCACGGTTTCACCTCATGGATCATAGTGCAAAGCTTCTATGATGGTCTTACTCCAATCTGAAGGGCCAACCTTGATTTGAGAGCCGGAGGTAGCCTTAAAAAGGTATCAGTTGACGAGGCCTACAAAATGATTGAGGAAGTTGCCAAGCATTATGCTTATGGGGGTGATAAAAGGCAAAGTCAACCCAAGAAGGGCGGCAAGCATGATCTGGAAGCAATAGATCTTATTCCTTTAAAGGTTGTTATGTTAGCTCGAAAGCTAGATCAAGTGAACAATGTGCCCGATAGCTCCTCCTCACAAGTCATGTCTTGTGAGACTTGTGGAGGAAACGATCATTTGGCATCCTATTGCAACACTACAACAAAGCATGTGGCTTCACTTGGGATGAATGATCCTTACTCTCAAACCTATAACCAAGGTTGGAAGCAACATCCAAATCTTGGGTGGAAACAACCCAATCAAGCTCTCCCTCCTCAAAACAATTACAATCAACCCCCTCCACAACAACAAGCTCCCTATCACCACCCCAACCAAAGAGACAATGTCCAACAAAGACCCTAATACAATCAAACATTGAATACGTTTTGGAAACCTTCATGACCCAACAAACCAAGATCAATGGGGAAGTTAGTAGCTCAATTCAACAACTCCAAGCACACAACAAGATGATTGAAAGTCAATTATCTCAAATTGCGCAATAAGTTGGGTGCTCCTCTAACCCCGGTGGTCAATTTCCAAGCACAACGGTAATGAATCCAAAATAGCATATGAAATCAATCACCTTGATTTTGGAAGGGAGGGTATGAAGCTCCAATTATGAGAGAAGTGGTCACCAAAAAGGGAGACGAAGGAGATTATTGGGTGGATGAAAGTGAGTTTGAAAATGAAGTGAGTAAGGAGGTGAGAGGAAGGTCAAAATGAGTGATAAGAGTGCCTCAAAGAGAGATGAGGGAGAATTGAAGACCCAAGTTCCATTGAGAACATATGAGCCTCGTATTCCATTCCCTCATCGAATGATAGAGAAGAAGCTAAATGAGAAACTTTCCAAGTTCCTTGATGAAATGAAAGGACTTCAATCAAACATTCCACTTCTTCATGCTTTGTCACAAATGCCTACATATGCAAAGTTTTTGAAAGATCTTCTTTCTAAAAAGAGTAAACTTGAGGAGAGTGATTCTATCTCCCTTCCAACGAAGAAAGTGCTATTCTTCAAAATGAGTTTCCCGGGAAGTTTGGTAACCCCGGTAGTTTTGCTATACCAGTGAAGGTTGGGGATCATGAATCAACAAATGCTTTGTGTGATATTGGGGCTAATGTTATCCTTATGCCTCTCTCTATGGCCACAAGGTTGAATCTTGGGAATATAAGACCACCGAAATGTCAATCCAACTAGCCGACCACTCGATTAAAGTCCCATTGGGAGTCTTAAAGGACATCCCGATTCAAATGGGGAAAGTTCTTGTTCCATGCGATTTTGTAATCATGGATATGGATGAGGATTCCAAAATTCATCTCATATTAGGTAGGCCCTTTTTGAAAACCGCGGGTGTTAATATTGACATGAAACAAGGGCGGCTTACCTTACATGTTGGGGATGAAAGAATCTCTTTCTCATTTCCGGAAACGTTGAATGACCCTATGGTTAAACAAGTTCATCGGATTGATGTTTTGGTTAATACTTTGAAAGAAGAAATGGAGGATTCACAAGATGAATTGACTCATGCTCCGAAGGTGAAAAAGCAAAAGAGAGCCAAGAAGAAAAAGAGAAACAAGATCAAGTTGATGGAGAAAATATTTGGTTTCATTTCTAGTGATGACGATAGTAAAGAGATTATTTTGCCTAAGGAAAATGGCAAGAGTGTGGGAACAATGAGGTGAGTCAAAAAGGTGTGCCTTAACCCACCCTAATCATGGGTAGCGCAATGTCTTCAAGCTAGTGACGTTAAAGAAGCACTTCCGGGAGGCAACCCGAGTATTTTTGTAGTTGATTGACTTCAAAAAAAAAAAGTGCACGTCTTCCAAAAACAACCAACAAGAACAAAGGTACCAAGGAGGTTCAAGCTTCAAAGAAGATCCGACCTCCCCCCGTTTTTTTTATATATATGCTTTTATTGCTTAACATTGAGGACAATGTTTATGATAGCTTGGGAGGGAGTCATTTGCATGCCATATTGACATGTTGGTTTGTTTTGGTTGTGTATGTTTTGGTTGTTTCATTTCCCTAATATCCAAAGCCCTTAATCCAAATTAGCTCCTTGTGAAATCCAAAGTCTTATCTTGTAAATTCTATCTGATTTGTTTTTATTTGGTTCGTAGCTTTGTGAAAAAAAAAATTGAAAAAATTGAAAAATGCCCAAGGATGAGACTCAAATAACGATGCTTATATGTTTTGCTTGCTTGACTCTTGAGTGATGAGTACTAGTTCTTTTAGAAGGGTGTATGCAAGAGTTGGGGTCATTTAGAGGCTTATTAATCTTGATTGCATTAGTGTATGGAACGAAAGCCAATGAATGCTCAATTGCACGTCTAGAATAGGATATTGTCTAATTTGCTCAAGTAGGATATGTTTGAATTAATTTGCGGTCCCTTATGCCCTTGATGTGCCCCCTTTCCTCCCCGAAATGTAACTCTATTAGGAAATTGGTTCTACTTGTATCATGTGTAATAAGTGGCATAATAAGCCATACGTTCTCAATAAAGAAAGAGTCGCTCATAGTTAAAATAGGCGAGGGCATTGAAAATTTGAAAAAAAAAAGAAGAGCATAGAAAAAAAAAGGGGAGAACAAAAACTCCTTAGTAACTTCTCAAAAAAAAAAAATCTCTTCTTTAGAGGTCAACTCGTGGATGCCTCCCACACCTTGTTTTCATTGTTGTTTCTTATGAAATTCCCGAGTTAGAGTGTATTTAAGGGGCCTTGGGTGTGTGTTTTGGGAGGTGGACTAGTATTTTGATATTTTATAACCGAAAGAGGGCTTGTTACAACTTTGGAATATCTAGATGTGCTCTAATGAACTAGTAAAAGGTCTAAGGAAGCATCCTAGTGCAACCTAGCTTAGTTTTCCTCTTTACCCCCAACTCATGTGTAAATTTGTACGATTGGTAATCCTTAAAAGTCGCTCACTTGTCTTGCTTGTGTCTTATATCTCGATGAATTGACTTGGACAAAAAAATTGAAATTATGTGATTTTTGATGATGTGTTGTGGATTGTGTGAGTTGTGGGGTAAGCTCATTTGAAACCTTCACGAGATAAAAACTCGTTCTCTAGGGCGACTTAGAGGTTTAAATTGCTTCTCACTTGCACTAAAAGTGATTATGGTTGTCACTATGCGGATTTGTGTATATGTGCATTCTCCTTGTTGCCCCTCCTTGGTTTGATGTTAGCAAGTTATTTTCCTTCTATGGTTTGACATGTTTGTTTTGCTCGATGAAGAACAAAAGCTTAGCTTGAAGAAATTTGATAACTTGTTATTTGATCATATGATTGTAGGGTGTTTTTAAACCTTGATTTCTTAATAGCTTGGTGTTTTGGTTCACTTTTACTTTATTTTCATGCACTTTCTATGTATCTTTTGCTTCACGGGTTGTTAGTGTTTTTGTTGAATTTTTAGGTCTAAAGATGACCAATTGAAGTCCTAGGATGATAAACCGAAGTTGGAAGCAAGAAGATGATGGAAAGAAGCCAAGGCAAAGGAGCCAAGTCAAGAAGAAAGAGAGATGTGCAATGGAGCAGCCTTTCCATAGAGTGGCTCGACCTCTCCCTAGGCGCGGCCTCTCCTGGTTAGTGGAGAGGCCTCTCCAAGCTCCACCAAAAGTTCCTGCCTCAATTCTGCAAAATGAAGAAATTAGGAGGAGAGCCCTCTCCTGATAGGTGTGCGGCCTCTCCACATGGAGAAACCTCTCTAGGTCAGTGGAGAGACCTCTCCACCTTGATGAAAAAGTTCTTGCCTCCCTTGGCAGATTCAAGAAATTTTGTGGGAAAAGGCCTCTCAAACATAAGTCGCGGCCTCTCCACCTGGCGCACCCTCTCCACCTATTTGGAGAGCCTTCTCCACCCCGATGCTGAAGTTCCTGCCTCCTTTTGGCAGATTTGAAAGAAGGATGCGGAGAGGCCTCTCCAACATAGGTGCACGGCCTTTCCACCTGGGGAGCGGCCTCTCCACCTTTTTGGAGAGCCCTCTCCACCCTGCTACTGAACATTAACCCAAACTTCTCCCAGTTTGGAGCGGCCTCTCCAGGCCTTGGAGAGGTCGCGCCCGATAGATCCTGCGACTTTTCTTTTGCGGAGTTTACTATGTAATTGGGGGATATAAATAGTTTTGGGGGTTCTTTTTGTAGGGGGATTCAATTTCCTAGAGTCCTTTCTCTTAGTTTGTAATTTAGAACATCAAAAACTCTCAAATCATTGCTTAGTTCTTAGTTCTTAATCTTGGAAATTTCAATTCAATCATTGTAGAAGACAAGTTCCACCATTGTTATTCAAGTTTGAAGCTTCTGTTAACTATTTCCCACTCTTTTTTTATATCTTCTCTAATTTAATTTCTAATTCCTTGCTTAATTCTTGTATGCTTAGATTGTTAATTAGCTTAATTCTTAGTTTGAATCTATTCATGAGTTCCTTGAAATCTTAAATTGCTTTAACATCCATGGATTGTGAGTAGTCTAATTTTCTAGGGTTTGGGTAAAACCCTCAATGTACTCACTAATAACTTGTTGAATGTAATAATTTGGTGATTGTGGGGTGTTAATTAGTTGAGCTTAAGTGGTTTCATTGTTAGTTCTTGCATTTGGCTAATGTTAGGACTATTTATCCAAGCTGTCTCAACGAAGGATCGAGAGATGAACTTGAGTTAGCTCCCTTATGCTTAATTGACTTGAAATTCCATGTGAATAGGAATTTCCAGTCAAGGGAATGTTTATGTCATCGTGGTTATGCTTTAACACTTGTTTTATGCTTTGTAACCACGAGAGTAGGTTGTATTCATGATTCAAGTAATCCCTCTAGCTTGAGAGAGTAGTTGGGTGCCTTAGATGACTTCCCCTTATCCCCTTAATTCACCTTGATTGTTGCATGCTAATTGTGATTTGTGATGAAGTTGAGTGGTTTAACTTGAGCCCTAGATTCCTCTAAATATTGTTAATCTCCTCTTATCTTTAGTTGAATTGAACTAGTAGAAGTTACTTAAGACCAAACCAATATCGACTTCATTTAGCTTATTTAAACGGCAGTATCTCGGTGGATGATTCAACGCCTCTCTTGGGTTCGACCCTTTCTTACCCTTACTATTAGTTAGTGAGACCAAGATAGGATTTATCTTTGGTAGGCTCGACGACGGCCTATCAGTATCCTCAGCCATGTCTAAGACAACAAAATCAATAGGGATAAAAAATTTACCAACTCTAATAGGTACATCCTCTAGAAACCTAAGGGGTATTTAACAGAACGTTCTGCCATTTGCAAAGTAATGTTAGTAACTTTAGAATCACCCATATTAAGCCTTGAACACACAGACGATGGCGTTACACTAACGCTAGCACCCAAATCACATAATGCTTTATCAATGAACACATTTCCAATATGACAAGGTATAGAAAAACTACTGGGATCCTTTAATTTTGGTGGAGATTTATTTTGCAATAAAGCACTACATTCCTCTATAAAAGCTACAGTCCTACATCATTAAAGGCTCTCTTCCTTGTCAATATGTCTTTCATAAATTTAGCATATGCAGGTACTCGTGTAATTAATTCTGTGAGAGGGACCGTTACCTGAAAATTCTTAACAACCTTCAGGAACTTACCAAATTTCTTATCTAACTTAAACTTTAAATGTCTATTAGGGAATGGAAGTTTGATAGCTGGGACCTGCACATCTCCACTCTTGTCTTGAGATTTACCCTGCAAAGAATTATCAGAAGAGTTAGTTTTACCCTAGGGACCTGTAGGGCTAATGACAACATCATTTGGTATAACATAATTAGGATTAGCAATTTTTGTTATAACAGGTTCATCAACTTTGGGCATAGAAGGCCCATCATAGTGTGAACCACTTCTCAGGATAATTGCATTAGCATGATCTGCAGGTTGTACTGGCTACGATGGTAGGGCCCCTGCTGGCGAGTTTGCAGAGTAGAGGAAAGTTACGCAATTTGATTATCTATGATTTTATTATGTGCTAGGATCGAGTAAATTTGTGCATCCCTACTCTGCATCTGCTTTTGCATATTGGCTAACATCGCTTTAATTTCTGACAGGGCAGGATCAGTAGATGGAGGTAGAGTTTGTGGATGGGTCCTCTGGTTTGGGGGTTGGTAAAATTTTTGCTGTGGTTGCTGTGGGGCTTGTTGTTGTGGAGGTGGAAGGTTTAGCACATTAGTACTCCGGTAGAAAATATTTGGATGGCTTCGGAGACCACGATTATAAGTGTTGGAGTATTGGGTTATTTTGCCTACAGGCTTGGAAGGCATTAACCTGCTCCACGGGACTCCTACAATCCTGTGCCCAATGACCTACAATTCCACAATCTTCAAAAAAATCAATAGTAATAGTATTACTAACCGCAGAAACATTAGCTAGGGAAGCAGGAATAGCAGTACTAATATTATCTAATTTCTGACAAATAAAGGTTAATCGAGCTTGCACAAAGGATACGGAATCGACATTATGTTTCCCTTTGTTTGCAAAACCTCTAGGATTCCCATATTGGGAATTATGAATTGCCATCTCTTTAATAACTGTGTCTGCTACATCCTCTTGAACATTCATAAATCTTCCATTAGATGCTAAGTCTAGGATTATCTTGAAGAATTTCCAAGCCCGTTGTAGAAGGCTTGGATTATCTAACACTGTGTTATCCCATGATGAGGCCATTCTCTCTGCA